CATGGGCTTCCAAAAGAACCAACAGATGTGTGTTGGAAGAAGTGCATCCAGAGTGCTCCTTGGAGGCCAGGATGGCCAAACTTCATCTCTCATACTTCAGACATATTGTCAGGAGGGACCAGTTGCTGGAGAAGGATATCATGTGTGGCAAAGTGGAGGGTCAGAGAAAAAGAAGAAGACCCCCAACGTGATGGGTTGGCAAAGTGGCAGCATCAGTGGGTTCAAGCGTGGCAACAATTGTGAGGTTGCCCCTGGACTGGGCAGTGTTTCATTCTGTTGTACACAGGATCGCTATGAGTCAGTACGGACTCGATGGCACCTAACAAAAACAACAACAGCAGCTCAAAGATACTTTGTTGTTGTTGTTGTTAAGTGCCGTTGAGTCTGTTTCGACACATAGCGACCCTGAACAGGGTTTCCGAGGCTGTAAATCTTTAAGGGAGCAGATCGCCTCATCTTTCTCCCGCGGAGCAGCTGGTAGTTTCGAACTGCTGACCATGCGGTTCTCAGCCCGATTCGTAACCACTACGCTACCAGATCTCCTTTCAAAGATACTTAGCAACTCTTAATTTTCCAAGGCAATGAATACTTTTGATTTCTCCTTCAGAATTATCTCTGTGAACAGAACTTGTTTTTAAAAACAAAATCTGACCCATGTATTTTCCTAGGGATCTTGGGCTGGAAATAGAGTTTGTGGAGGAGGAACACGGTGAGCAAATGAAGGAAACTTTAGTGAAGCTCTGAAAATCATTCTGTGGGCTATTTGTGGTAATCTCACTTGTTTGTGTATGGTATTCTGCTCTTCTGTCACTGTTTTAGAGAGATGAGAATGGATTTGATGACTTTTTTATATCACAAACTGACAGTCATACTGTACAAAAGTTTGTGAAAGTTAACATGTGAAAACAGTTGAATTCCTCTTTCACAAACTCCTTCATGATGAGATGAGTGTTAAGAATAATCGAAACTCACTTGAATTTGACATAAAGTTAATTTTGAGCAGTTACTCTGTATGAACAGGGAGAGGTCATTTTGATTCCTGAGAAAGCCAATCATTGAAGAAGCTAGGTACAATGAAGCTTATGAAAGAAGTTGTTGCTGTTAAGTGCTACTGAGTCAGTTTCTGACATAGCAACCCAGTCTAAGATTTCTGAGGAGCCGCTGGTGACTTTCACCTACCGACCTTGTGGTTCTAGTGTTTATCCTATAGTGCCACACCAGGACATCAATGAAGAGAAGTGGTGGTTATGTGTGTGGACTTGCTTCTGACTCACAGCCACTCTGTATAGAGTTTCCAGGGTTGTAAATCTTTATGGGAGCACAAAGCTCATCTTTCTCCCGTGGAACCACTGGTAGTTTTGAACTGCTGACCATGAGATTAGCAGCCTGATTAGTAACTGCTACACTCCCAGTGCTCCTTAATGAAGAGAATAGGAGGGATATATGTATATAGGTGATCAACCATTGGCTGATCTTAAAATGATTGAACTCTGCCTTCCTCAGCTTTGCAGAGATCAAGTGGTATCAATTTACTTGTAGCGTAGTGGTTACGAATTGGGCTGTGAACTGCAAGGTCAGCAGTTCAAAATTACCAGCTGCTCCACGGGAGACAAAGGAGGCTTTCTGCTCCCATAAAGATTTATAGCCTCAGAAACCCTGTTCAGGGTCGCTATGGATCAGTAACTGACTCAACGACACTTAACAACAGCAACAAGTGCCATCAAGTGAGTTCCAATTCATAACGGACAGTTACCTGTCCAGTTCCTCTACAGTGCCATACCAGGACTCCTGGCGGCTAATAATCTGACCATCCACCCAGGTTGTGCTGTAGGATAAGCACAGGACTGCTAAGTGCAAGGTCAGTAGTTCATTCCCATCAGCTGCTTCCTAGAAGAAAGGTGAAGTTTTCTGTTTCAACTGCTCTTTGAAAACCCAAGTGAGTCTGAACTCACTTGAATGCACTTAACAACAAGGAGTCTGAATCTGATTTGATTGCTGTGGGTAATTTTTTCCTTTGACCCACCTGCAGCCAGGACGCTTTTTGAGATTTAAATTAGAGGATAATGCATTGACAACCATCCTGTTTTAGCAAGATAATACAAATTTACATGGCTATGGAACAGTTTCTGGAGTCCTGGTGTGGCAATGTAGGATAAGCACTGGACTGCTAACTGCAAGATTTGCAGTTCAAACCCACTAGCTGCTCCTTGGAAACCCTGTACAGGGTTGCTATGAGTCACAACCTACTGGAAGGTCCTTAACAGCAAAAGAAAATTTCATTTGCAGTTTGAATCGTTTGTTAATAATTAGTTTCCTGGAAAAGAAAACCTTAAAATCAAGGAAAGATGTCTATTATTTATTTTACTATTGAACACAAGGCATAGAATTTGCATCTACTTTGTCAAATGCCTGAAACAGCCCTGGAATGTGTTCTTTGTTTTCCTCCTGACTTTATCAAAGGTAAACAGTTTACATGATCATCAACTTTCACAGTTGTCACAGTGCTGCCGGACATTGTGAAATGGGAGATTCTCTTTTACACTTCTCAACATTTGCGCCTCTTGCTTGGGTTCCAAAGGCTGTGGAGTCAGTTAACTTGTCAATATTAGTAGCATTCTTGTGGACTAGACATCCTTTAGGAGGAAGTACTAGCATTCTGCTTTTCCTCAGAGGCTTTCTACTCCAGTACGGATTTACACCCTCGGAAACCCTGTATAGGGTCGCTATGGGTCGGAACCGACTCGACGACACTTAACAACAACAACAACATTGTGATGCTATAAGGATATATAGCTTTTAAGGTCAGTGCTTGACATTTGTTTTGGGATTTGTTAGCTGGTTCTCTCTGGTAAACTAGCAGACTTACAGTTTAGCTTGTATCGCTCCTGAAGCTGCCAGTTTCTGAAAGTGCCCTTAGCCTTGAACCTTCTTGTTGTTGTGAAATGCCTGTATAGGGTTTCCAAGGAGCAGTTGGTGAGCTTGAACAACCAACCTTGCAGTTCAAATGGCTTTGCAGTCTGGAGCATTAACTCTCAGTGCCACACCTGAACCTCCATATACTTTTAAAAATACAGTCAATTGGATCAGGAAATGGGGATAATGGTGTGCTTCTGTTTTAGTGACACCCCTGCTGGGATGAAAGTGATTTGGGCACAAGTATTCTCAGCATGCCATATCTGAAACTGTAGAAGAATAAGAGGCTCCACTCTCTTGAACATGCTTGTTTGGACTTTATCCCACTGCACAATGTAGCTTGAGGCTGGGGATGAGAAATACTGGTGGTGTGCCCTCTTGGGAAGATACCATAGTCTTAGACGAGGAACTTAGGGGAGAGAGAGAGTTTACTACACTACCTGGAATGGAGTTTCTAGTAGTTCACATGCCACAGATCTGAGTTTTAGCAGGTGAATGAAATGCTCCTTTTCCCTATATTGCAGAACAATTTAAGGAACTAGTTCTACTCCACCCTGTAGGGCTGCTTATGAGTTTAAGGCTATTCAATGGCATTGGCTTTGATTTGGGTTTTGGTTAATACAATTTCAAGAGACTATAAATGTTGTGTGTTTTGTTTCTAAGTTTTTTTTAACCCATTAAGCTTATTTCACTGGGTGAATGAGTCTATGTCGTTCCCTGGCATGGCGCTGTGGGTTAATACGTCAGACTGCAGAGTCCTTTGAACTGCAAGGACTGTGGTTCAAGCTCACCAGCTGCTCCTTGGGAACCCTATACAGGGTCGCTATGGGTTGGAATGGACTGGAGGGCACTTAACAAACAACAATTAGAAGTGGAACCCCTGCTGTGAATATTATTGTACAAACATGGTCAAGAATTTCCTAAAGCCAGAAATAATGGGTTGGAGGGCATGGAAATAGAAACCAATTTGACACAATCATGTAAAGCTAAACAAAGTGTTTGTGCCAAATTACTATCAGCAGTGTCAGGAATCCTGTTGTGCACATCTGACACTTGGCATTGTCATTCGACTTCCTATTTTCTGCCTCTTAAGGTAGCGTAGTGGCTACGAATCACGAATCCGGCTGCTAATATCATGGTCAGCAGTTTGAAACTACCAACTGTTCCGCAGGAGAAAGAAGAGGCGTTCTGCTGCAGTAAAGATTTACAGTCTCGGAAACCCTATACAGGGTCCCTGTGAATGGGAACTGACTTAATGGCACTTAACAATAACAGCACAGGGTTTCCAAGGAGCTGTGGTGAGTTTAAACCACTGACATTGCGGATCACACCAGCCTTGTGGTCCAGTGCTTACCCTACAGAGCCAGACCAGGATTCCATTCAGCCCGTTGTTATTGTTAAATGCTTAGTTACCCTGTATCCAAGGAGTAGCTAGTGGGTTTGAACTACTAACCTTGTGGATCTCAGTCCAGCGCTGATCCTACAGTGCCACACCATTCAACTCATGTTTTTGTTGTTGCTATGTGCCGTGGAGTCGGTTCCGACTCATGGTGACCCTCTATAGGGTTTCCAAGGGTGTAAATCTTTACTGGAGCAGAAAGCCTTATCCTTCTCCTGTGGAACAGCTGGTAGTTTCAAACTGCTGACCATGATGTTAGCAGCCCGATTCGTAGCCACTACGGTACCAGAGCTCATACACAACCTATAACAAGTGTAAAATAGCCATCTAATTTCATCTTTCCCAAATAGATAACTAGTCAATATATCCTATTTAGTCTCCTTTCTCACTGATCTATATTATCTCTTAGGAAGATTTAATATGACATATCCACATGAGTCTGTGTTGGTGTATCTGCTCCACTAGTCAGTTTCTATAATGTTGTGTTGTTAATGTATCATCTTAACTGGTATAATTTAATAAATATTTCTAATATTATGAAGGAAGAATGTTTTCCCTTTTTTGTAATATCTTAGCTATGTTCTTAAGATTTTCATATTTTAGGTAGTTTTGAGTAGAAATATCTTTCCATGATGACTATGTGTTGTTTATTAACTTGGGTATTTTTTTCTTTGTCTTTTGATTATAGGAACAGTTGTGATCAAAAGTAACAGTGGCCAGTTGATGTTGGTGTCTCCTCAGCAAGCTTTAACAAGAAGCGATACTACTGGTAACATAACCTCAAAGGCAGCAGTATCAGCGAATACTCAAACAATCAAAACCTGCACAATGCCGGTAATTTACCTTATTATTTTATTTTTTTCTTTGTCCTCATGATTATCTTCATATTAACGTGTACCTGTTTGCTAATAAAAATTATTCAGTGATGATTCTGCTTAGCTTTGTAAATCTTGGAATATGTTAATCTATCAAAATTTTCAGGTTTTTTTGTTTGTTGTTTGGTAATTGTTATAATAATAAAAATTTAACATCATACTCAAAGATTTTATAGTCCTCAAAGGAAGATTCAAAGAACAATTTGCATCTCTAAGTGGAAAGCAAATTAGCGTTCTGCTTCAGTTCTAATTTGTGGTAAAAATATTAATATATAGCAAAGGAGCTCTGGTAGCGTAGTGGTTACAAATTGGGCTGCGAGCCGCAAGGTCAGCAGTTCGAAACTACCAGTGGTTCCGCAGGAGAAAGATGAGGTGGTCTGCTCCCGTAAAGATTTACAGCCTCGGAAACCCTGTGTAGGGTCGCTATGAGTTGGACCCGACTCCACAGCACACAACAACAACAACAATTGTATTCAATTTGAACTATATCTTAAAAGGATTATCTTTAAAAATTTAAAGACATCTGACTAAGTTAACACTGTTAGGAAATAACTTATTTTATATACATGGCAAGGCTGGCAGTTCAGACTCGCCATCTGTTCCTTGGGAACCCTGGACAGGGTCATTTTGAGTCAGAATCAACTCAATGGCACTTAACAACAACCACAAAGTTCCCAGGTAGCTGGAGTTTATCTCATATGACAGAGTTTTTTAAAAGTAATTTTTATACATATCTTGCTTTGTTCATTTAAACAGAAAGTGCTGCATGTAGTTTAGCATTTTCTTGTTGTGGCACTGTGGATTAATGCTCTGGACTGCAAGGTTGGTTTGAACAACAAGGTCAGTAGTTCAAGCTCATCACCCACTCCTCAGAAGCCTTACACAGGGTTGCTATGAGTTGGAACCAACTCAGTGGCACTTAATAACAACAACTTGATTCCAGGTTCTCAACTAGTCATTTCCTCTGTTAGTGTGTTTGTTACTAATAGCTACTCCTTCCCTTTTCTAATTTGCGTTATATAACTAGTGTGGATTGAGAAAATAATGTTAGCAGATTTTTATTTAGTATTACATACAGGAGCCAAAGAGTAATGTTCAAGATTTTAATGCTGAATCTTGTGAAATTTATTTCTTTTGAACTTGTAGGTATATCAGATATTTATGGAATCATGTTACCCTTGTTAAAACATTACATGAATGTCAATTGGCCAGCTGATTAATTTAGGTTTATAGTATGTTGTTGTTAAGTGCTGGCTATTGAGTTGTTTCTGACTCATAATTTTCCTGTGTAGGGTTTCTGGGGAGCAGCTGGTGGATTTGAACCTCTAACCTTGTGGTTAGCAGTTCAGTTCTTATCCTGTAGTGCCACACCGGAAGTACATAAAACACCTAAGGTGATGTAGAGGCTGAAACAACACAGAATCCTGAGAGAGGGCAGTGGTGGTGGTGGATACGTGCTATGGAGTCAGTTCTGACTCATAGCGATCCTGTATAGGGTTTCCAAGGCTGTAAATCTTTATGGGGATAGAAAGTGTCATCTTTCTGCTGTGGAACCACTGGTAGTTTTGAACTGCTTGCTGATTGTATGAATCGCAGCCCAACTCGTAACCACTACACAACCAAAGCTCCTTTCTGATACAGTAAACAAAGTGTTTTAATTTTAGTTCTAACACTGATTGATTTTAAATCAATAATGGTGATGGTTATATGTTATTATTTTTTTTTTTTTCTGTCTCTCAAGAATTCTAACTCACAAATAATAAAGAAAGTGACTGTGGTACCTGTTAAAAAATTGGCACAAATAGGAACTACTGTGGTAACTACTGTTCCGAAGCCTCCTTCAGATCAAGTAAGTTACGATTTAATTTGGAGTCATGTATGCACTGCTTATCCACTTATCTTTTTTTAAAAAAATTCTTGTTTAGCTATTTTATGCCAGGTATATAAGTTACTGTGTATAGGACATTGACAAGAACAATTCAGTTTGATAGGTGTATGGTGACATTTATCAAACTGGAAACTTTTAAAGCAATGGGAAGTAAAATAAACATAGTATATTTTCTTGAAACATCTGTTTTCTTGATTACTTTAAATTAATGCAAATATATTTAATAGCTAATACGTTGCCATTACCAGAAACAGGCTAAGGGACAGTTTGACATATGCACTACTTATTTATCAGAGATTGATACCTTTGGAAGTGAAGGAGAGTAAGCAAGAGTTTGAATTGGATGCAGCCTCAGTAACTAGTAGGAAGCTTTGGAAAACATGCAGCCTATCAGAGTTTGGCTATTGTAGGCCTGCATGGTTACCTGGGTCTTAATGACATCATTGGATGTGGCCTCTCTCAGAGAAGTTATGTTGTTGGCTAAGCTGACTCTCTACAGCAAAGATAAACCCCAAAATTTATGACGACTGCCTGCTGAGAGGACTCCTAGCAGCCAGACAACATAAATCTCCTCTTGTGGTGATTCAGTATACTCTACCCTAGTAATTATTACTATTTATTGAACATTTCTTGGGCTCAACACTTTTTAAGATTTATTTTGGAGTCCTGGTGTGGCACTGTGGGTTAATGCGCCAGACTGCAAAGCTGTTTGAACTGTTTTGTTGGCTGTTCAAGCTCACCAGCAGCTCTTAGGAAACCCTATACAGGGTTGCTATGGGTCAGAACCAACTCGATGGCAGTTAACAACAGCAACGTTTATTTCATTCTTGCAGTTACTCTCTAAGGTCCATACAAGAAGCTGTACAAACCCCAAACAGAATAGATCCCAAAACAAAATAAAAATTAAAATGTGTTTAAATACATATGTATGTATTTCTTATACATATACTCATTAACAATGTATGCATTTTGTAAAGATTTAGTATATTTAGTTCTAAATTGATATATTTGGGCTGCTTAATTTTTCCTTTGATTGCTTTTCCATATAAGTGTTTCCTACTGATATTTCTTATATGGATTATTCATAACTTTGCCTAATTCTGATTGATGCATATTTTAAGTTGGCTGGTTTTGAGTTCTAGGCTAGGGAAGTAAATGATATCTTGGATTACTTCAACTAGTGAAGTTAACTTTAAATAATGTTTGTGTCCATTTTGAGGGTCAATTCAAGGTCAAATTTAGGGGTTTCAGAATTTGGAAATGAGAAAAGATGGAATTTTCTGCAATTAAATATTTGAAAAGGTAAATGTATATATTAAGACATTTTGAAATTGTTTTTCTACTAGGAGATTTTTATTTGTTTAAAATGGTTTGCAACATAGCCTGGTGTGGTAGACATAAGAACTAATTTGAAATCTTTTCCTTAGTTATTTTCTATTTGATGAAGTTGTAGCCCATTTCATTGTTAGATTGAACTCTTAACAAATATTTGGGTTTATAATGATTATTTCTAAAAGACCATCAATTGCTCTTAAGTAAGTTCATTCTAAAACAGAAGAAAATGAAAACAAGTTCACGAGAGCCAAACTATGACCTTGAATATATCCCACCTGAATTTAGAGACCATCTCAACAACAGATTTGCTGCATTAGTAACTAATGACCAAAGACCAGAAGAGTTTGGGGATGACATCAAAAATATCATACAGGAAGAAAGCAAAAGGACATTTAAAAAAAAAAAAAGGAAAGAAAGGAAAGACCAAGTAGATGTCAGAAGAGACTCTGAAATTTGGTCTTGAGTGTAGAGAAGCTAAAGCAAATGGAATAAATGGAAGAGGTGAATGAGCTGAACTGAACATTTTAGAGGGCAGTTGGAGATGACAGAGTTAAATATTATAATGAAACGTGCAAAAACCTGTAATTAGAAAACCTAAGGGGACGAACACGCTCAACACTTCTCAAGCTAAAAGAACTTAAGAAAACAGCTCAAGCTTCTAGTAATATTGAAAGATTCTAAGGAGCTCTGGTAGTGTAGTGGTTACGAATCGGGCTGCGAACCGCAAGGTCAGCAGTTCGAAACTACCAGCTATTCCAGGGGTGAAAGATGAGGCTTTCTGTTCCCGTAAAGATTTACAGCCTCAGAAACTCTGTACAGGGTCGCTATGATTTGGAACCGACTCCATGGTACATAATCACCACCACCAAGTGCAAAATATTGAGTGATGCAGAAAGCGTCAAAAGGAGATGGAAGAGAAAGAAAAAAAAAAAAAAAAAAAAAGATGCAAGGAATACAGAGAGTCACTGTACCAAAAAGAATTGGTGGGTGTTGAGTTGTTTCAAGAGATAGCATATGATCAAGAACCGATTATATCGAAGCAGGAATTTTAAGCTGCACTGAAGTCATTGAAAAACAAGAATACATTGCAATGAAACAAAATAGATTGGTTGAGTACAAAACTGATGTTCTTCTCCTATGTAAACTATCACTCAGTTTACAATAAAATCTTTAAAAAACAGGAAAAACAAAATCAGTACTCCAGGAATTAATGGGATACTAATTGAAATGGTTCAACAAACTGTTGCAGGGCTGGAGGCACTCACTTGTCTATGCTGAGAAATTTGGAAGACTTGCTGCCTGATTAAAGGATGGGAAGGGATCCATATTTGTGCTCGTTCCCCAAAAAAGGTGACCCAATGGAATGCAGAAATCATTGAATAATATCATTAATATCATATGCAAGTGAAATTTTGTTGAAGATAATTCAGTAACAGTTGCAGCAGTACATCGACAGAAAGCTGCCACAAATTCGAGCCAGATTCAGAAAAGGATATGGAACTAGGGATGTCATTGTTGACATTACTAGAGAATACCAGAAAGATTTTACTTAAACTTTATCGACTGTTCAGAGGCATTTGACTGTGTGGATTATAATAATCTGTGAATAACATTGTGAAGAGTGGGAATGCCAGACACTTAGTTGTGCTCTGGAGGACCTGTACATAGATCAAGAGGCAGTTGTTAGAACAGAATAAGGAGCTATTGAACGTTTTAAAATGAGGAAAGATGCACACCATAATTGTATCCTTTTACCATATTTACTCAATCTGTATGTTGAACAAATCACCTGAGAAGCTGGATTATATTTTTCCTTCTCAAGAAGTATATGAGAGCAGGATTGGAGGAAGACTTATTAACAATCTGTAATATTCAGATACATAACCTTGCATTCTAGAAGAGAAGAGACTTGAAATACTTAACTGATGAAGATTAAAGACTGCAGTCTTCAATATGGATTGCACCTCAATGGAAAGAAAACAAAAGTCCTCACAACTGGACCATTAAATAACATTATGATAAATGGAGAAAATATGGAAGTTGCCAAAGATATCATTTTGCTTGGATCCACAGCTAACACTTAAAGAAAGCAACAGCCTAGAAATCAACTGACATAATGTATTAGGCAAATCTGCTGACCCAAGACATAGTTTTTTCAAGTGGCTTTATACACATGCCTCAGTTGCACAATGAATATGAAAGACCAGTAATGCATGTGAATTATGGTGTTGGAGAAGAATATTGAAAGGACCATGGATTGCCATAAGAAAAAACAAATTTGTCTTGGACGAAGTGTGCCCAGATGCTTTTTAGAAAAGGAGATGGTGAGACTTTGCCTTTCACACTTCAAACATATTGTCAGGAGGGACCAGTTCCTGGAGAAGAATATCATGCTTGGTGTAAAGGATAGGGGTTAGTGAAAAGGAGGAAGACCCTCAACAAGATGAATTGACACAGTGGCAGCAACAGTACACTCAAACATAACAATTGTGAGTATGGCGCAGGACCGGGCAGTGTTTCATTCTGTTGTCCACTTGATCGCTGTGAGTTGGAACCCACTCGATGATACCTAACAACAAGAACATCAAGGAAATACCAGAAAACCTAAAATGACTGAGCTTTCAGACAGGTACAGAAATGATTCTCCTTGAAATACAGCTTTGTCTCCTAAGTTTGAATAATTCCAGTGCTTCTGTATTACTGGTTTCCACACAGATTCATATATTTTCTACCCTTTTCCACTCTTGCTTGCAGAGCATGCCTAATTAGTGCCAGTGTAGCCTTGGAAAACATGCATGTATCATGGGTGAGTCTAGATACAAGCTGAGTTATCTATTTAATAATGACAAAGCATGATTTTAAGAATAAAATTTTTCTTGGTTTTAGAGATGGAAAAGGCAAAACTCCAGACCCAGAATCATACTAAATCAGGGGTTAGCCATACCATACTTGCTGCCTTTTTTATAAATGAAGTTATACTAGCTCACAGTGATGCCCACTCATTACACATTTTCTAGAGTTGTTTTAGGACTACAAAAACAAAGATTAATAGTGCCAACAGAGACTGTATGGTTTGCAAAGTCTAAAATATTTGCTCTCTAGCCCTTTGAAAAAAGAATTTCAGACCCCTAATCTAGATATGGTAGTGTAGTGCTTACGAATCGGGCTGTGAACCTTAAGGTCAGCGGTTCGAAACTACCAGCCGCTCCGCGGGAGAAAGATGAGGCTTTCTACTCCCGTAAAGATTACACCCTTGGAAACCCCGTACAGGGTCGCTATGGGTCGGACCCGACTTGATGGCACTTAACAACAGCAACAACAATCTAGATATGTAGTCCTGTTGTGGTGCTGTGGATTAATGCGCCAGACTGCAAAGCCGTTTGAACTACAAGGTTGTTGGTTCAAGCTTACCAGTTGCTCCTTGGAAACCCTATACAGGGTCGCTATGAGTCAGAACTGACTCGATGTCACGTAACAACAACAACAACAACAATCTAGATATGGGAGTCCTGGTGTGGTATTGTAGTATAAGCACTAGACTGTAAGGTATTTTTGAACTGCAAGGTCGGCGATTCAAATTCACCAGCTGCTCCTTGGAAATTCTATACAGCATCACTGTGAATTGTAACTGACTTTATAGCATATAATGACACCAACGGCAACAATCTTAATGTGGCATTGTAGAATAAGCACTGGACAGCAAGTTGTGTATGAACTGCAAGGTTGGCCATTCAAACTCACCAGCTGCTACTCGGAAACCCTATAATACAGGATTGCTATGAGTCAGAACCGACTATGTTCCACTTAACTACAACATGTTAGAAACAGTTTAAAGTAGCAGTTTTTGTTGTATACAATAAAATATTGACAAGGAAAGTAAAATTGCCATAAATGCTCATTCTTGTAAAAAAAAATAGCATGTTTTCCTGACCTTAAATTTCACTGGGACTTATTTGGCGTCATAAGGTAAACAACAGTCTCTTAGGAAATTTTGCCTTTAATCCCAAAAGTGATCATAATCACCAGCTAAAATTCCAGATTATATTTTCTTAAATACAGTAAAGGAAAGAATAAAAAGTTGATTAGAAAATAGACTCACTGAAAAAAGTCTTTATTATATAAAACCCTCAAAGTTTATTAGAAAATCTCCCGAAGTATTCAGAGAAAACTGTCCAGTAATTGTCTCTGATAAACAGAGTAGTCAAAAGATGGAGACTTAATTGTAAATATTGCTTCAGAGATTTTGTTGCTTTCCTTATATTTAGTGAAATTGTGTTAATGTTAGTGTAGTTAAAAATTTTGCTGTTATTGCATAATATTTCATTGAGTTCTGTTTATCTTTAATCAGTAGTTTTTTTCATTTTCAATTTTATTCCCAAAGCATTCTTGCCTAATAATTCCTCCAAGTTTTCATAAATAGAAAATTTTGTTATACATTTGAATTCACTATTACAGGAAAATCCTTGAAGATGACAGGAATCTGCATTTAAGTTAAAATTATTAGACAAGACTGCATTTTCTATGTAAATTATAAATATTTTTCTGCTTCCTTCTTCACAGACTTCTCATGTCTTGTAACTTTTTGTGTTTGTCTTTTGAACATTAGATTATTGCTTTATGATAATGTGATTTTCTAAATTACTTCTTGTTTTTCTTTGTGTTAAACTTTTTTATCCTGTAGGTGGTGCTAGAATCACATCTCATTTCAATGAAGGGTGGAAGCAACTACTAAAATTATTTTCAGTGTGAACACAATATCACATTTGTAATATTCTTATACTTACTCTGATAGTCTATGTAAAAGCAGATTATTAGGAAATAAGAAACAATAGATCTCTTTGCTTACATATTTTAGCAAAAGCAGAGCATTACAGAGCAGGGAATCTATTTTCACATAAAGATTCTGATTCTTAAGTGCTGTTGAGTAGTGTCTGACTCATAGTGATACTTTATCGGGATTCCAAGGAGCTGCTGGTGTGGGTATGAACTGTCTGTCTTGCTCTTGGCAGTGCTTATCCTACAGCACCACACCAGGACTCCAAAGGACTAGTCATTTCAAACCTATCTTGGTGGCGTGCCGTGGAGTCGGTTCCGACTCATAGCGACCCTGCATAGGGTTTCCGTGGCTGTAAATCTTTACAGGAGCAGAAAAACCTCATCTTTCTCCTATGGAACTGCTGGTGGTTTGGAACTGCTGAACTTGAGGTTAGCAGCCCAACTCGTAACCACTGTGTTACCAGAGCTCCTTAAACCCATCTTGGAGATGTATTAATATTTTTGAGGACAATTTGTTTAGCACATTTTGTCCACATAAAGCTTTAGGATTATTGTTATTAAGTGCCATCAAGTTGGTTCCGACTCATAGCAACCTTGTGTAGGGTTTCTATGAAGCAGCTGGTGAGCTTGAACTAGCGACCTTGCAGTTCAAACTGACTTTGCACTCCAGCACATTGACCCACAGGCCACACCAGGATTCCTACAGCCTTAGGATAACAGGTCCTGTTACCTTGCTTGTTTTATCTAGAAGGCATTCGGGAGGTTAGCAGGATTTAGTAACTGTCCTGAGATTATTCATTTAGTAGAATGATTGGAATCCAGATCTACTACACTCCAAAGTTTTTATATTGCCTTGGCTTAGTAGAGCCTAACAAAAATAAAAATGTCAAAATTCATTTGTAATAAGCTTAATGAGAAATGAAACATCTACTAAGGTATCATAGTACTGTGAATCTAAATACATACTACTTTTATATTTCAGCCTATGCCTGTGACAACCAGTGTTGTCACAGTTACTCCTGTAAAGCCACTGACTACTGTAACAACCCAGAAGCCTTCAAGTTTTGGAGTATCACCCGTCTCCTCCTGTGAACCCAATCTCAAAACAGAGAATTCAGCTGTTGCTCAGATTAATCTTTCTCCAGTAAGTTTTCATGTGTATTCTAACTACAATTGCTTATAAAATTCCTCAAATTTTATTTTCCTGCTAACATTTGATTGTTTACATTTTATCTCCGTATTTATTTAGATGATGTTAGAAAATGTGAATAAATGTAAGAACTTGCTTGCAATGCTAATAAAGTTAGCATGTAGCGGATCACAGTCCCCAGAAATGGGACAGAATGTGAAGAAATTGGTGGAGCAACTTTTGGTAAGTTGTTTTTTTAAAAAAGTTTGCAAATCTCCATTTGTTGTTGTTGTTAAAAGTGCTGTCAAGTCGATTCCGACTCATAGCGACCCTGTATAGGGTTCACAAGGAGCAGCTGGTGGATTTGAACTTCTGACTTTGTGGTTCACGGTCCAGTGCTGACTCTACTGTAGAAGATAGACTACTTGATCAAGTGGTGGTGGTGGGTGTGTGCCGTGGAGTCGTTCTGACTCCGAGCGACCCTGTGTAGGGTTTCCTAGGCTGTAAATCTGTACAGGAGCAGAAAGCCTCATATTTCTCCCACAGAACAGCTGCTTGTTTCGAACTGCTGACCTTGAGATTAGCAGACCGATTCATAACCACTACACTACCAGAGCTCCTTATTTGATCAAGTGGGAAATTGTTATTAGAATTATATAATGTTAGAAAGCCAGGTTATAAAAAAAAAAAACCCAACATACGTTGTTTATGCCCAAACAATGAGTTTTTAGTAACTTCTGAAAGTTCATCTTCTTAGACTTTAGTTCCCTTATTTATAAGATGATCTCTGATATCTCTGCAAGTGCCAGAATACTGTCAATTTATGCTGCTTTATTTCCTTATAGCCTCTTTCAGTTAAAATATTTAGATATACTAAGGATGAAGATGGAAATTAGAAATGTTTTACCATATGCTTAAGAAATATGCTGAGGGTATAGCAAATCAATCTAAATTTGAATTTGTTGAGCTCTTGAAATCTATAGACTTTTCTGACCTTACAAATTAGGACTTTTGTATATTTTTCGTTTAAAAATACTTTCCTGAAGGAAAATATGTATATATCTCAAACATCGATTAGAAAAGCAAGCATAGTTTATCAATAATTAAAATACCTTTTTTACTATTGTTTTTAATGCTATCTATGGTTAGTTTTCTATTTTGCAAGCTGTTTCATCGTAATAGTGGTTAAAGTGCTTGGCTACTAACCAAATGGTTGGCGGTTTGAGCCCACCCGCTGCTCCACAGGAGAAAGATGTGGCAGTTTGCTTCCATAAAGATCACAGCCTTGGAAACACTATGGAGCAGTTCTACTCTGTACTATCGGGTTGCTATGAGTGGCTTTGTTTTTTTTAATTTGAGAAATTTTGAATTATGAGTCATATAAAGATGTTTTCATTTTAACTTCTTAGCATTTTTTTAAAAAACTTGTTTATTGTGAATTCAGTGGAGTTTTACAGAGCAGATGACATCAATTTTACATTAACAAATCATATACTTTGCTTCATTGCATGGTTGCAATCCCCTCCATGCACCAGTGGTTAACAGCATTTACCTCTATTCACTCTGACTACAGCATGAGCATTTTTTAAAAAGTAAACACTGAGTTGTGATCTTCTATTTTCAAGGTGTACTGGCCTTGAAAGGGGGATCTACTCACTTGTTCGCTGAGAAGGAATACTCTTGATGGAGAGACTTGATGGAAAGGAACATGCATCCAATAAAATTTCTAAACACAATTTTTGTGAACTTTTGCAAATAGATAGGAGCAGTAGGAATGAATCAAATACTCTTTCTATTTCAACAAGACCTATTTCGTCTAGAAGGGGCCTTAGTGTGGTGCATAGGTTAAAGTACTTGACTACTAACTGAAAGGTTGGCTGTTTGATCCTACTGCTGCTTCCTTAAAGATTGACAGCTTTGGAAACCCTGCGGGGGAAGTTCTACTCACTCCTATAGGATCACTAGGGATCTGAGTAGACTCAATGTCAGTGGGTTTATTTATCTTAAAAACAGTACTTTTCAAACATTTTATTCTTGGGATACATTAATATGTTTGAAAATTGAGGACTTCACAAAGGCATTTTCTTTATGTGGTGTTGAAATTAAGACAAACTATTAATTAGAAAATTAATTTTAAAACAACAAATCTATTGCATATTAATATATGTAGGATTTTTATGAGAACCAACTATAGTTTACAAAACGAAAAGCTATTTTGTGGAAAGTTTGACATTGTTTTATATTTCATAAATCTAATGTCTAACATTCTAGAAGATAGCTAGATTCTCAAATCTGCTGTATTTTCTGAACCATTTGTTAAGTGCTGTTGAGTCAGTTCTAACTCATAGGGACCCTGTATAGGGTTTCCAAGGAGAAGCTGGTAGGTTTGAACCACTGACCTTGTGGTTCACTGTCCAGTGATGATCTAAGTGCCACACCAGGATACCTTATGGCATACTAATTTTGTTGAAGAAGTCAGTATTTTTATAGCTTTTCTCTAGATCATTGTGGATTTTCTTTAGTGTCAACTCATTTTGCACATTGAATTGCTCTTTTGTCCAGGTATACTGGTTTTGTAACATCATACATTGATCATTTGAAAAATATTAGGTCTCTGATTTATGCAGATATTCCAAATGTTGACAGATTTGATAATTTAAGGTAAAAAAATGATGCAGGTTAATTTCACCCCCACTTAACAACAGCAACACCACCATTAGAAAAAATATTTCACCCCCACTTGAAAACAATACCAGTTAGAAGAGTACTTTACATGCTGGAAATCTATCAGGTACAGAGTAGTAGATACACATTTTCCAAATTTTAAATTTTGGTTTGAGATACTTTTGGCAACAAATAATGCAATTGTTATTTGAGCCCACATTGTTTTTGAGATAGCAAAAGTCAAATATTCTAACCTGAATAAGAATAGTGTGTCATTCTTTCTAGTAAAGATAATGCTCTAAGAAAAATAAGGTAGTTCAACTCACAAAATGACTTTCCTTGAGCATCTTACTTTGCCCTGCAGCATAATATTTTGCACACATATTAAAAAAAACATGTACTGAAGAGTTGAGATTTAGTAAAACAAATCATCTTTACTGCTTCTTTGAGGAGATTTTAAAAGTTAAACTAGCATAAGAAGTGCATAGTGATGGAGCATATTATGATAACTATTAAAATTTGTTGTTACTGCTAGCAGTTTAACCCACTGCTGCTTTTGTACCTTCAGTATAAGTACCAACACAAAGGCCAAAGCAATTTTTTCTTTTACCGTGGAAATAATTTAGACATATCACAAGAAAGACTTAGAGCATTAAACAACATGTAAAGGTTTCTTGGGATTCCTGGTTTGGCACTGTGGGATAAAGCACTAGACCGAAAGGTCGGTTTGATCTACGAAGTTGGTGGTTTAAACTCACCAGCTGCTCCTTAGAAACCCTGTACAGGGTCGCGTGAGTCTATGGCACTTAACAACTCTATGGCACTTAACAACAACAATAACAAAGGTTTGTCAGTTCTTTTGGGAAATAGTTGATCTAGTATAGCTTTGTAGTCCTGGTGTGGCACTACAGGATAATGCCCCGGACTGCAAAGTTGGTGACTCAAGCTCACCAGCTACTCCACGGAAATCCTATACAGGATTGCTGTGGGTCGGCTTCAATTTCACAGCACTGAGCAACAGCAGTTATGGCTTTGCAATGAATAGTATTCTCAAATAACAAAATTAACTTTGTACTTGTAATTTAAAAAAACTTAAAAACAAAGAAATTATAGAGTCCTGGTATGGTGCTGTGAGTTAATGTGCCAGACTGCAAATCTGTTTGAACTGCTAGATTGGCGGTTCAAGCTCACCAGCAGCTCCTTGGAAACCCTATACAGGGTCGCTGTGGGTTGGAACTGACTCGATGGCACTTCACAACAACAAGTTAAATCTGGGGGCACAGTGACTCCACATAATAAGCACAGGACTGGGAACCATAAGGTCTGTGATTGGAGCCCAACAGACAGAAGAAAGATGAGGCTTTCTGTTCCCACAAAGATTTCAAAAAGCCTCTGAAACCCTATATGGAGGCTTGCTATGAGTTGGAATTTACTTGAAGGCACTTAACAACACCAAGTTAAATGCGAGAAATTTAGAATTTCTGTGTGTTTTCACTTCCTAATTATTGATGTTGTTAAGAACTCCAGTTATTGATAAGACTATAATAATGTAGCAGTATTTAGTTGCAGTTTTTCTGTTACTTTGTTTCCTAGGATCTTAAATAAAAAAGTCTTTATTCTCTGTAATCATTGTTCATATGTACTCATTTTACAGGTGACATGAACAAAAATTGCCCATTATTAATGATGAAACTCTACCATTTGTGTCAGGATAGCAAAGCATATATATAATTATGAGTTATGTATTTTGCCTCTTAATTATTTATAGACTTAAAAATATGTTTGTTTCTCTCATTCCTCAGGATGCGAAAATTGAAGCAGAAGAATTTACTAGAAAATTGTATGTTGAACTTAAGTCTTCACCTCAGCCACATCTAGTTCCTTTTCTGAAGGTAGAGTTCTATGCTACTTTGAAGAATTTATTTGTGTTAGATTAAGTTAAAATAATTTAAGCTCTAGTATATATTTGAGTGTGTCAGTTCATTGTGATGATTCTAGGAATGTGAGAGGAAGTTCTCAGTTCTATTATAAACTGGACAGCATGTTCATAATCCATATTTTTCAGATTATGCTGTGAAAACAAGTGATATCATTCACGAATATAACTTAATACTGTTTAATGCTTGTAAAGAAATGTAGCAAGGACTTTTGAATATGCTTGAAAATAGAGCTTTCTGATTTGTTTTAATGACTCATTCTTTTAGAAATAATAAACCATATCGTACTTAGTTTGGTGAGAAGGATGTTATTATTATTATTTTAAATGTTTTATTGTGAATTATGGGATAGTTTACATGGGAGAACATTAGTTTTACATTCATCCTATAGTATATAATTTCATTGCTATGGTTACAATACCCTCCATGCATCATCAACCAACCAAAGGGTATACACTGCAAGCCTGCGCCCCCCGGTCATCAGCACACAGCCCCTCTCCCTCTCTGTGTCTAAAGTCCCCAACACTTCCATCTCTCCACATCATCGTCTCGGCCTCCATCTCAGGCATCGCTGCTTCTCTGGGTAGGGTCCCGCTCTCCACTCTTCTCCCTTGATGGTCTCAGGGACCTCCACTCTTAGGCTGAAAAAATCACTCCCTTCTTTGCTAAAAAAGTCCACCTTTATACAATTCCAACCCTCACAAGCAGTCCAGATAACAATTATTCACTATTGTGTCACAAGAGATCCATCCGGATTTTATTTCATCAGCCCCACTTAGACAGATTGTATACTACTCAGTGGAGAGTCTACCTTCCTCCATGCCCTGTGAATCTAGCTTCCCTCTTGAAAGCTTGTAAGCCAGTCACTTCTTGCTGTTGTCGCTTTCCCCCTCCCCCACCCCATTTTGGGTAGCTAGTGTCCAAGGAAGTCATTTTTAAGAATTAATTTTCATTGTTAGTAAACATTTTCACTAGGATTTATTGTACTGAATAAAATTTTGATAGAGAACTATAACTTTGATAATGAGAGATTGGTTGGCAATCCAAAAATTCCTTTTGGATACTCAGAAACTGAAAAGGAGTCAAATCGAATATTTTTAAGCCATTAAAAATCTGGGGTTGCAGTGAACTCTAAAGACTCATTCCATCAATTTTCAAGTAATAGAATGAGATGTGGCTCATAGGAAGATTTTGGTTAATGTCTAGAGGAGATGAAAGAGGCTTCATCGTGGAAACTCTATTCCTTCATAAAAGAAGGGAGTGACCAGATTGATTGGTTGTGGTGGTGGTTGTGTGCCGTGGAGTCAGTTCTGACTCAGTCATCTGAATAGGGTTTCCAAGGCTGCAACTCTTTACAGGCACAGAAAGCCTCATAGCCTGCCTCGTCTTTCTCCTGCAGAGCTCCTGTTATATTCACATTGCTGACCTTGTGGTCAACAGCGCAATTTATAACCCACTTAATAAGCCTTGACCAGATTGACTGTTTTTCTAGTTAAGTGCTGTCTGGTTGGTTCCAACTCATAGCGACCCTATATATATATAGTTTTTGAGGAGTGACTAGTGGGTTTGAACTGCCTTCCTTGCAGTTAGAAATCCAGTGCTTATCATACTGAGCCACATCAGGACTCATGACCAGGCTGATTTGTTGTGATTGTTGTTGTTAAGTGCCGTCGAGTCATTTCCAACCCATAATGACCCTGTGAGCAGCTGGTGACCTTGAACTGCCAACCTTGCAGTTCAAACGGCTTTGCAGTCTGGCGCATTAACCCACAGCACCACACCAGGACTCCTTGTTGTGATTAGGAGGATGCAAATTATTGCTATGGAGTGTGGCTAAAGAAACTGAGAATGCTTTTATAATTCAATAATGACAATAAAAAAGACAAACAGCCTAAATGAAAAATTGAGTCCTGGTGTGGTGATGTAGGCTAAGCACTTAACTGTAAGCCACTCCACACAGGGTTACTGTGATCCAGAACCGACTCAACAGCACTTAACAACAAAGGACTTGAATAGACCTTTCTTTAAAGGAGAAATACAAGATATGCAATTGGCCAGTAAACACATGAAAATACGTTCAATTGTCACTAGGGAAATGCCAATCAAAACCACAGTAAGATACTGCTAAGTGGTTACAAATTGGGCTGGGAACCGCAAGGTGAAAAGTTCGAAATTACCAGCTGTTCCGTGGGAGAAAGATGAAGCGTGTTCTGCTCCCGTAAAGATTTATAGCCTTGGAAACCCTGTTCAGGGTTGCTATGGGTCGGAAACGACTTGATGGCACTTAACAACAACAACAACAAGCAGCAGCTAATAGGATGCCTATAAGGATACCTGATGATGCAGTGGTTTAAGAGCTCGACTGCTAATGGACAGCTTGGTTTAACCTGGCAGTCTGCTCCATGAAGTTTATAGCCTAGGAAACTCTGCTTTGTTATAATAGTGTTGGTATGAGTCAGAATCGATCTGATGGCAACAATAACAGGATGGCCATTACCAGAAAAATAGAAAATAATTATTGACCAGGATAGAGAGAAATTGAAACCCTCGACATAACTGGTAGCAATGTAAAGTTGTGCAGTTGATGTTGAAAAGAATTTGTTTATTCCTGAAAAGGTTAAATACAGAATTATTATATGATTTAGCAATTCTCCTCCAAGATACATACACAAGAGTCTTGAAAGCAGGGACTCAAAGCAGATACTTGTACATCAAAATTCATTCCAACATTGTTCACAATTGCCAAAAGATAGAAACAACCCAAGTGTATGTCAGTAGATGAATATACACACAAAATGTGATTAGCTGTATTCACTAACTAAACCCACTGCCACCAAGTTGATTCCAACTCCTAGCAACCTTATACAATGGAATAATTTTCAGACATAAAGGGAATTCTGAAGCATGCTATGACATGGATAAACCTTGAAAACATGCTGAGTGAAATTATTCAGTCTCCAAAGGGCAAATATTCCGTGACTCCACTTATATAAATATATAAAGTAATTTAGAATAGAAAATAAAGAGTAATGAAATTTTGTTAGTGTTTATCAGGGATGGGTAAGAGAAGGGACTAAGGAACTGTTGCTTGGAGGGTAATGAGTTTCTGTTAGAATATTTGAAAACAGATAGTGATGAATTAGTTGCACAACATGGTGAGTGTAATTAATGTCACTGAATCGTACAATTAAAAATAGTTAAAATGCCAAATTTTGTGTTTCATAAATTTTGCCAGAATAATACTTTGGAAAAAAGGAATTGAGAATTTTTTAGCTGAAATGACTTGTGCTCTGTCTTTGGATGACCCTCCATAGAGATGCCAGAGGCAGTTCTTCCTTTGGTTTGAGATTGTGCCATGGTTCTGTGAGCTATAGTAGATGTGTGTAACACTGGCCACTCGAGTAGATATGAGAGGGCTTCAAAAAGTTCATGGGAAAATGGAATTAAATGGTAGTGGAAGTTTCCCATGAATGTTATGAAGCCCCCTCATATTTCATAGGTATTGAAGAACCGTGGGAAGAGAGAATTTAGTAAGCACCTTCCAACTCAACAGCACTTAACAACAGCAACTCTGTGCCATATGTCTGAGCAAATATTATTAATTTGCATTGTTTATACTTAATTTTCATGCCAGTCTTTTCAGAGTAGGTACTAGATAACAGTGTTCTTCATTTTAGACATGAGATGACTATCTTTTGATGAAAGACACAGATTTGGTCAATACGAAAAAATTTAGGCTAACTGAATCAGCTTGCTAGATAACACTACCTTTAAATTACCAGGTATTATCATGAACTATTTATACTTCTTATTTGTTTTCTATGGATCTATTATGTCTTATAAAGGAGCTCTGGTAGCGTAGTCGTTACGAATTAGGCAGCTAACCCGAGAGTCAGCAGTTCGAAACTACCAGCTGTTCCATGGGAAAAAGTTGAGGCTTTCTACTCCTATGAAGATTTATAGCCTCAGAAACCTTGTACAGGGTCACTATGAGTCAGAACCGACTCCACAGTACATAACCACAACAATTACATGTTATGATTGTGTTTGAATTTTGTTTTCCTCATCCATAAGACTTTGGGTGTTGCATTTTGTATGTGATAAGCGACTCAACATTTAAGGTTAACTCTAGTCCAGGGCTTCAGACTGGTTCATTCATGACCAATGAAGTGAAATTGGAACAGATCTGACCTGAATTTTTAAAATTTGGATGAAGCAGAAAGACAACCAAAGTGGTAAACAGTATGGGTCAGAACCCTCGAATGTGAAACTTGGAAAAGGCAAAGTGAGCCATTTCAGGAGCTGGTCCAGAAGGACTGCCTGGACCATGGAGAGTAGTGACACATATTCAAAGCAATGCTTTTTGTTGGCATCTTTGAGCATGACATATCATTTCTGACTTTGTCACTCAAAAGATTTGGTTGCTATCCAGTGTGCGCAATGTCCTTGTTTTCTAAGTGGGAGATTAAGTTTCCTGCAGGGTGTTAACCCGTAATTTTCCCTGTCTATTTATTGCCCTGGTTTAGGTGTGTTCTGGTCTCACTTCATCAACTAAGATGGAAAAAGTCCTGACCTGGGCAGATGAGCAGGAGATAATTCAGATGCATATATATTTTGTCACCTCTTTTTAAGTCTCATATGACTTTAACATTTCTTTCTATTTTTTTTTTTAATCCAAAATCCCCCACTCATTTTAAATTTCTAGTTGAAATTTATTTTTTAAAAAAATCACTTTATTTGTATATTTCCAAAGCAGTTTGTTTTCTGTCCGTTGTAAAATATGGAAAGAGATTATGAGGGGTTTTCTACTTTTCTTCTTTACGGTTTTTTTTTTTTTTTAATGTCTTCAGATATGAATTTTTTTCATCTTTTTATAGAAGAAGAGAAATCATAGATTTCATTTGCTTATTAAGTATTGTATTTCTTTGTGATTACTTTCATTGATCTTAGTATCCAGTTGACATAGCTTAAGTGTTATTAAACGATGGGATCATCAAAAACAGCCTGTAAATTCCCCAAAAGACAGGCAACTAGGTACTTTCTCTGACATCTTTTTCTTATTCAAAAATGAAAACAAACAGAATGCTCATTGGTGAAAAGACAGAATCTAGTATTTTAATTATCTTTACTCACTAGGAAAGAATCATAGACATAGATTTAAAATCTAGTTGGGAAATATCCAGCCCTATTAAAGAAAAGTAAGGAGCTCTGGTATCATAGTGGTTATGAGTTGAGCTGCTAATCTCATGGTTAGCGGTTTGAAATTACCAGCTGTTTCGCGGGAGAAAGATGAGATTTTCTGCTCCCATAAAGATTTACAGCCTTGAAAACCCTGTACAGGGCCACTATGAGTCGGAACTGACTCCATGGCACATAACAACAACAGCATTAAAGAAAATTGCCTTTGGTCTTAAATTTGTGTATGTTAGGTTTAGGTTAAAGACTTTCTAGCCAAAGTATGGAAGTTATTTAACAAAGAGACTTTTGGTACAAATATATTTTTAGATATGGAAGTTAATGATCTATTATGGGACTTAAACAACACATACAAAAATAATGCAGTGTTTTACAAAATTGATATTGAGATAGAGAAAATTTTTAATAATGAGACATGAATTGTATTTAAAAAACCCCTATTGGTTTAATCCTTTCGGACTTTAAATTGATTGTATGCTTGTTATTGATAGTATTGTTGTTGTTGTTAAGTGCCGTCGAGTCGGTTCCGACCCATAGCGACCCTGTACAGGGTTTCCGAGGGTGTAAATCCTTACGGGAGTAGAAAGCCTCATCTTTCTCCCGTGGAGCAGCTGGTAGTTTCAAACTGCTGACCTTAAGGTTCGCAGCCCGATTCGTAACCACTACGCTACCAGAGCTCCTTACTGATAGTATATAAATAAGTAATACCAAATTTCCTCAACAGAAACACTTGATTTTTATTTATTGTTATGTTATAAAGAGATGAAATACTAAGTATTATTTCATTAGGTGCTTATTTATCCGTATTTATTTTTCCTCCCTCTCTTGTGTTTCTAGAAAAGTGTGATTGCCTTACGACAACTTACGCCCAACTCTCAGAGCTTTATTCAGCAGTGTGTTCAGCAGACCTCTAGTGAGGTAGTTATTGCTACCTGTACTGTAAAAGCAACACCTTCTCCGGTTGTGACAACAGCAGTCTCCGCAATCCAGTCTGAAAAGACAATTACTGTTTCTGGGGGAACAGCCCCCAGAACTGTGGCAGTACACACTCAGAATCCACTTGCTGGTTCAGGTGGAGCAAATACTGGAGTTGTAACACTTCATTCTGTAGGTCCAGCTGCTGTACATGGAGGAACAACAGCTGGAACTGTTTTGCTTCAGACTTCAAAACCACTTGTGACTTCAGTACCAAATACCGTTACAACAGTCTCACTTCAGCCTGAAAAACCAGTTGCTTCTGGAGCAGCAGTGTCACTGGCTCTTCCATCGGTAACTTTTGGGGACACTTCAGCTGCAGCAATTTGCCTTCCTTCTGTGAAACCTGTAGTTACTTTTTCTGGGACCACATCTAGCAAGCCTGTCATTGAAACTCCAGTCCAAATCAAATTTGCACAACCAAGTGCCATCCTGTCACAGCAAGCTGGCATGCCACAGGCCGTTAAAGTCAAACAACTAGTGAGTAACGTCTCTTTCTTCTTCAGTTTTTTATTTTGAAAAATTTAAATCTTTAGATAACTGACAAAACTAATGAAATGAGCCCTTATGTACCTTTTACCTAGTTTGACTAATTGTTAACATTTTGCACATTTTTATATATTTGTCCTTTTCTCTCTTCATACACGCATGCACACATGCACACACACACACACACAGCCCCAGTGTACTACTAATCATCACGTATGGCTTAGTCACATTTCCCCGTTGTCCTCATAATACCCTTTATAGCTATTTATTTTCTGATCTTGTTTCTGTTTTAAAAAGTGCCTATTACATTTAATTGTCATTTTTCTTAGATGCCTTGAATCTACAATATTCCCCATCCTTTTGTTGTTTTTCATTATATTGTAATGCTTCAGGTGTCGAGAGTAGTTATATTATAGAATGTCCCCTGATTTGGTTTTCGCTGATGTTTACATTCAATTTAAGTACTTCTTGACCCTTCTACTACGCAGGTGATAATAATGATAGCTCTTCTTTAAAAAGATAAGAAAGAAGGGCGACTGTGAGGGACTTTGAGAATAGTGGAAAAGAGATTGTAATTACCAACTCTTCCCCCCCCCCCAAAAAAAAAAAAAAAAAAAAAAAACACCTGTTGTGGCTTTGGAGTTCTTAGGTGAAAGAAAGAAATTTTAACTTTCTATCTGGTAGTATTCTTAAGTTTTAGTGTCCTATCTGTTTTCAGGACAAAACAAGTTTCATCAGGAGTATAATTAGTCTATGGGAGATAGCACTTGGCAAAGTAATTAAAATTTATAATGTTTTTTAAAGTAAAGTTTTATCTTACCCGTTACAGAGTTGTTCTTTTGATTTCTGATAATTACCCTTTTTTTTCTTTTGTATGTCTCCATGTTAAAAGCTCTGCTTTGAATCTCTTGTTTTAGTGTATTTTTCTTCTTAGAATAGTATAATCTGTAAAATTCCCAGCCTTGTTAACTTGATCTGGCTAAGAAGGTTGTGTCTACGGGTGGTTGTCTTTAGAAGCAGAATGGCAACTTTGAACATAGAATGAAAAGGAGAAATCAGGTGGCAAGAATTGGACAGGAGTCAGACCAGGAGTCAGATGTTGGGGTGGGTACAGAGTGATAGTCATTTCCTGAGGACTAATCTGTTTTCATCCTTCCCTACTTTAGGTGTGATTAATTTTTTTTTTTTTTAATGTTTTATTGTGAATTATGTGATAGTTACATGGGAGAACATTAGTTTTACATTCATCCTATCGTGTATCGTTTCATTGCCATGGTTACAATCCCCTCCATGCATCATCAACCAACCAAATGGTATACCCTGCAAGCCTGTCCCCTGGTCATCAGCACACAGCCCCTCTCCCTCTCTGTCTGAAGTCCGTAGCCGCTCCATCTCTCCACGTCATCGTCTCTGCCTCCATCTCAGGCATCGCTGCTTCTCTGGGTAGGGGCCTGCTTAGGTGTGATTAATTTTAATTTGAGATAAAATATTTTTTAAAACAATGTTTCTAAAACATTGGTTTTAGCAACAAGATATGGGAACTACTGGAACAGAGCAATTGCTCCATGGAGAAACCTTTGTTTTGATAGCACTGAACAGAACTGGACTCCTCTTTATGGGCCGTAGCTGATTCCTGAATCAGCACTGACCATTATTGAACATCTTTAAAATATAGTCTCGTAAAGTGAAACAATACTTAATAATTAGAGATTTTAAAATATGTCATATGCGCACAATGGATTTTAAAGTACCTCAATAGTGAAGTAGGAGCAGGGAGAGCACTAAGAGTCTAGAATTTTAAGTGACTTCATCCAATGGCCTTCAACAAGTGAAAATCAGAGACTAGAACCTAATGTGTTTTTAAAATTAGGTTTTAGTTTCCTGACAAGAACTTCTAAAGATTTTTGGTGTGCCCTGAAACAGGAAACTGTTTCTGGTAATAATATCTTGACAGTGTGCATTTAATAGATTTGGCTTGTTATACTTTAAAAATAATTGCAACCAAGAAAAATGTATTAGGAAATCTAATGCCAAATTTTAGATTATTTATATTTAAAATGGTTTAAAAAAAAATTTTTTTTTTTAAACTTCCTGCTTTCATTCTTTAAAAAAACTTGGAACAATGTAGTGTTCCTTACATGTTCTACCTTCTTTGGCCCCTATTTCCATTTTAGTTAACAGATTTGATGTTACTATTTTTATTTAGCTATTAAAATGGTAAAAGTCAGCAACTAGACACCTAAGATACATTGTTGTTAAGTGCTGAGTGGGAACTGACTCATAGTGCTCCTATGCACAACAGAACAAAACATTGTTCCTGCTCCAACCTAGGTATTAGAGTTTAATCTGAGGTCTAAGTAAGAAGGAAAACACACAGGGTGTTAGAAATAGCATAACATATTTTAATAATACATAAGAGAAATATGGCAAATAATCATTTAAAATGCAAGAGTTGCCATTCTGGATCAAATCTGTGGTCAGTGCAGTTAAGAACTGTTTCCAGCAGTGATCTGAAGAAATAGGTGTAGAAATCTTGTTTAATGTCAGGTTTTAAAATTTTGTAATTTGAATCCTTTAAAATTTGATTATATATTTTAAAATTCTATTAATGTTAGATTGATTTCTAACTCTTAACTGATTCTTCTTCAAGTTTGTGTAAGTTTCCTGCCTCTTGGGTAAGATGTTTGCATTTTCACCCTTTCAGATTGTAAAAAGAATTCTCTCTAATCTGCCTTTGCAAGATTTAGGTTTTATCATAGTATTATTTTATGAAGTGATATGTGTTTTTTTCTTTCAAGAAAGAAGGATGACTTTTTATGGAAACTTTAGGACCAGTCAGAAGCTGCAAACCTGAATCGGGTACATGGGCCATACTGTTTCCTGGTTTTGAAGCATAGTCATTGCCACTACCTCAATAAGATAGAGAGGACCACAGTGACTTTTTAAAATGTGTGGCAAAATACCCATCACAAAACAAGGGGTTACTCTCCTCTGGGCACCAAGCAAATATGGGCATTTACATAGATGGAGGTAGTATTAATAAATAGTCCTATAACTAATTGCTGCTACATCATAACAATAAACTTTTCCACTTTAGCAACTACCCTGGTTTGACAGCAGGTTTTTGCTAATTCACTGGAAACTATGTTACTTACCCAGAGTAGTTGATTCTTTGGTCAACAAGTGATATGTTTTTATCCTTGGTTGAAGAGGCCCCTCCTTTTAAATTTTTGGCGTATCTTTTCTTATTATTTATTGTATATTACCTCCTGGGGGATCTGTGAAAGCTCTTATTCAAGTAAATCAACTAGAATTTTTCAGTTTATTTTAGGTTTAGGTTCTTCATTTATTAACAACAATATGGTACTTTTTATATTTTGGTCCTCAAATGCTTAAAATACTGGCATATGGGCCTAATTAGTAGTTTTTGAATTTCATCTAAGGAATCAGTTCTTGTAAATGGGTAATCTTCTTGGCCATCTATCAGTCTGACTTAGTAGTTGTTTGTTACATGAGGTTATGTATTTGAATCAAATGTTGAGCTCAACATTTTTAACTTTGAGTTGTTTTTTAAAAAGTTAAAGAATGTAGATGGATTGGATTATAGACTACTGATGATAGTTAGATAATAAAATATAAACTCTAAAGGAGTCGTGATGGCTGAACGTTTTCCTTAGGACTATTTGTGAAGAAACTATTTCATTAACAATGGAGCAAAAGCTATTTTAAATTTAACGTAAATATTTTAATTTTAAATGAGCTAGAGATAATAAGCAAAAGCTGATTTACTTTATTAGCAAAACTAAATTGTTTAACTTTTCACTCAAAAGTTAAAAGTGTTGTTTTTGTTAAGTGCCGTCAAGTTGGTTTTGACTCATAGTGACCCTGTATAGGTTTCCACTGACCTTTCGGTTCAAACCAACCTTTGTAGCCCAGTGCTTTTCCTGCAGCACTACACCGGGACTCAAAAATTAAAAGTAAAGCCTCTTAAAACCACAGCATGTTTGAATTTTATTGAACAAGACAGTTAATTCAAAATATGTTTGACAAAAATTTTGGAGCATAAACTAAATGTTACTCTTGGTGGTTACAGTGTAGGATTGGACAATTCTTAGGGTATAGTTGTTCAGTCAGTTGCTGATAAATAGCTGCAGGATATACCATTCCACTATAAGACCCACTCAGCACCATGGGTCAGCCCTCTCTACAAGCAAGTTTCCTGCCCAAAGTCACTGAGCTTTACTTGCCTCATAGGCTGGGAAGTCCACTGTTTTCTTTTGTGTTCTGGATCTGGGTTCTGCTGCTGCTACTCCTGCCACACTTCTGGTGTCAGACAGCTTTCTGTCCCTAGGTCAAGGAGGTTTAATGTATAAGAATCTTGGGGTCTAAAAGATAGACTCCACTCCTGGCTCTTTATTCATAATGGTATTGAGAACTCTCTCCCTCCTGCTTCTGAGAAGGTTCTTTTTAAACCATGCTAGAGTTTAAAGCTTCTACAATTAAAATGAACTGTGAACATCCATAGCTGAATCATGTCATTCTGTCAGTATCTTCCCCACCTCTGTCCCAGATTCAGCAGGACACAAATGTTGTTCGATTGAAGTTACAGACTATAGCTAGAAGAGACATCACAACCAGTAATTGTGATACGTCTGGGTTGCATGTTTGATCTGTTTCAGACTGAAGAAGATGGTTGTTGTTAAGTGCCATCATATCAGTATGACTCACAGCAATCCTGTATAGTGTTTCTAAGGAAGGACTGGTGGGTTTGAACCACTGACCTTTAGGTTAGCAGTTCATTGCTTCTTCAGCAGAACCACAGCAGGACTCCAAAGAAGTTGGTAGAATTCTTCAATTTCATCATCACTGGGTTTAGTGGTTGGTGCATGAATTTGAATAATAAGGTATTAACTGGTCTTCTTTGTTGTTGTTAAGTGACTCTGAGAGTTGGTTGTGACTCATAGAGACACTGTATAGGGTTTCCGAGGAATAGCTGGTGAGTTTGAACCACTGTCCCTGCTTAAAATAGGCTTATTGATATTGTCATATATCAATACAGATAGCAATAAACTTCATGATCTATCTGGAAATGTTTTTGATGATGAATGCAATGCCATTGCTCTTCAATTTGTTGTTCCTGGCGTAGTAAACCGTTGTCTGATTCAAAATGACCAATACCGGTCCATTTAGTGTGGCACTGTGGGTTAATTCGCTGGGCTGCAAAGTCAGTTGGTATTGCAAGGTCAATGGTTCAAGCTCACCAGCTGCTCCTCGGAAACCCTCTACAGGGCCCCTATGGATCAGAATCACCTCAGTAGCACACAGCAACAACAACACCATTGCCCAGAATATTGATTTTTATGTATTCCATTTCATATATGACAACTTCCAGTTTTCTTAAGAGTCATACTTTGTACATTCCATGTCCTGGTTATTAATGAATGTATGCAGCTGGTTCTTCTCATTTTGAGTTGTGCCCCGTGAGCAAATGAAGATCTGAAGGTTTTGCTTTGTTCTCATCATTATGGTCAACTCTACTTTGAGGAGGTAGCTCTTCCCCTGTCATGTTGTGAGTACCTTCCAATTTGAGGGACTCATGCCAAGTGTGCCAGGAGTATGGTGCCCGTATTTTTTGTTAGATCACATACGTTGCCTTTAGTCTTTCAGTCATTAACACGAGGAGTGATGGGCATGTAGCGTTGTTAAACTCGAGCTCATAATTTTGTGTTATATTTTTGGGTAGGCATCAAAAATGATATGATACTAATTTGCAAACAATTTTCTAAAAATATTTTATAACTATCTTTTATAATACGAATACTGTAAAGAATATCTAATAAAGGATGCCAAGGAGGAAAACAAACAATTGAGAGTTAAGTTCAAATTCTTAGGGGTGTTTTGTTGTGTTTCATTCTGAGTACATAAATTAGACTATGAATCTGTATTGTATTGCAAAATATAAACCTGATTCTCAGTGCTTTACAGTATATGTGTTTGACCTCTGCGTCATTGGAATGTTTCCTTTTTTCAAAGAATTCTTGTCTAAGCCCAAAGAATGATCCGTCATACATTTTTCCATCTTGTGTTTCTTCTTTAGGGAAAAGTAAGTTCCTATAGGGGTCCTGGTGTTGCACTGTGGGTGAATGCATCAGACTGCAAAGTGGTTTGAACTGCAAGATTGGTGGTTCAAGCTCACCAGCCACTCCTTGGAAACCCTATACAGAGTTGCTATGGGTCGGAATTGACTCAGCGGCACTTAACAACAACAACAAGTTCCTATAGGAGTACTTCCTATGACATTTGTTAGTTACTTGTTATTTTTTTTTTTTTAATAAATACATGTTGTTGTTGTTAAGTGCTGTTGATGTGGTTCCGACTCATGGTGAATGCTATGTAGGGTTTCTCAGGATTTAAAATCTTTTCTGGGGACCAGCTGGTGGGCTCAAACTGCTAACTTTGTAGTTTGCAGTTCAGTCTTATCCTATGGAGCCACTGTACTCCTAGTGATATATATGCTAGACATTAGATTTATATTTTATTTACAAAAAGTAATAAAAATAAATCATAACCCTGTATTTCTATTTAGTAGTTTATTTCCTCATATGACTATGAATAATTTATATTAGTCTTCTTTGAGTTGTAAGGACTTTTAAATAACTTCACTGGCTCAATGATAGAATGTGCTCGTCTTTGAATTGACAAAAAAAAGAAGCTGTGCTATTTTGGTTTTCTTTCCTCCTTGAAGCCAAACGTAACTACTGTTTCTATTTTTAAGTAGCCCTGGTGGCACTGTGGGTTAGGCACTGGACGGCTCGCTAATTGCAATGGATTGGCAGTTCAATCCCTCCATATACTGCCTGTGAGAAAGAGAAGACTATCTACTCCCTTAAAGATTTACAGTCTCGGAAATCCCATGTAGGGTCACTATGAGTTAGAATGTACTCGATGCCAATGGGTATGGTTTTTGGTTTGGTTTTATTACTATATTAGATATCCTGGTAGCACAGTGGTTAAAGCACATGCCTTCTAACCTAAAAGTTGTTTCCAACACACCAGCTGCTTCATGTGAGAAGAATGTGGCAATCTGCTGCTGTAAAGATTTACAGTCTTAGAAACCTGATGGGGCAGTTAGTTCTACCTTGCTCCATAGGGTAACTTTTAGTTGGAATCCACTAATCAGTAGTAGGTTTGGGATTACTATTAATTTTTCTTCCTATATTTCTAGCCTTTACCTTCTATATTTCTTGAATTATGTTCTCTTGAAGAATGTCTTTTGCTACTTCCCAAAAAGTTGTTTTAAAAAACAACACCTTTTAAAAACAACACCTAAAAACTGATCTTTAGAGTTTTAGAGATATGGTTTGAAATGTTTATGGATTAAAAGATACACAGTTGTGATGTCCTTTAAAGTAATTGAGGGTGCTGGGGAAGTTATCAGTAGAAGCATAAATGAAACAAGATTGATCAAGAATTGTTGAAGCTGGGTAATGGTAGAAAAACAAAACTACGTTAATCGGTTTCAACTCATAGGGACCTTATGAAGAGTTTCCAAGACCATAAATCCTTCTGGGAGCAGATAGCTTTATCTTTTTCTCATGGGTATGAGTAATAGTATATAGGGGTTTCATTTTCTTCCGTCTACCAGCTGTTCCTTGGAAACTGCCCCTCAGAAACCCTATGCAGGGTCACTATGAGAACTGACTCAACAACTTTTGTATGTGCTAGAAATTTCCCAGCACAGGTTAAAAAGGAAATAGATTCTTAGTTACATAGTGCTTTCAGAGCAGAAATACCACAAGTCAGTGGCTCTAAGAAACAGAAATTTGTTTTCTTACCATTTAGGAGACTAAAAGTATGAATCCCGGCGCCTCTTTTGGTTCTACGGGAGAGTCTTGGTTCCTAGAGATCTCATGAAACGTGCCATCTGTCTTCCCCCAGCTGTGCTTGCTTTGTTGCATGTCTAATCTATTCTTTTTATATCTAAGAAGGGATTAATTTAAGATATACTCTGCACTGATACTGCCTACTTTACATTACAAAGAAAATCTATTCCCACTGGGATTATAACCACAGGTACAGGTATTAGGATTTACAGTGTATTTTGGGCAACATAATTCTGTAACAGATTCAGACTTAAATTGGGTTCTGTAAAGTGGAAATTTGAATTCTCTTCAAAAATGTTATATAACCTGTAAGATAGCTTTGTTTTTCACTCTTGGACAAGATAGTTTTGCTACATACAATTTAAAATTTAAGTATTCTTTCTTATTACAGTAACATAAAGGCATGCATAGATGGATAGATAGTTGGGTGAGTATAATCTGTTGTATATCATTGAAAGTTTATCCTTCCCTAAAGTAGATTGTTGCTGTGTGTTGTGGAGTAGGCTCTGACTCATAGGGACTTTGTATAGTGTTTCCAAGGCTGTCAATCTTTTCAGGACTAGAGCACTTCGTCTTTTCTCTGGTGGAGCTGGTGTATTCAAATAAATAAACTTGCAGTTAGCAGCCCAGTGTGTAACCCACTATGCTACCACACCATCTCAAAGTAGATAGAATGAATATATTGATAATTCTTATTGTTTCAGGTAGTCCAGCACCCTTTAGGAGGCATTGCAAAACAAGCGACTGCACATTCCCATTCCTCAGCATTGACCATTCAAACTTCTGGACAACAGAAGATACCAGTTGACACTGTACTATCGGGCAGTCAGTTTTCCCCAGGTAGACTTTTGCCTATTCCTGCCTCATCACACTGGATTTGAGACACTATGGGGTCTTGGTGCTCTATTTTTTCTGTCTATATTATGAGAAGAGAGATTTGATGTTTTCAGTTCACCCCTATGAGAGAAAACTTAAAGATGACTACTCATTACACTCTTTGTGCTTACAGAGCCACTCTTTATGGGTGTATGTTGTTTTAGGATGAAAGAGGCAACTACTCATAGTATTCTATAATTAGTTATAACAGCTTACTAGTAAAAGGAGTACCTTTTAATTTGTGAATTTGTTACGGCCTTATTTCTTAAAGTTAGGAAATCAGTCTTGTACATGTAAATTAGGACTTTTATGTGTTTTTAAAATTTAACAATACAATTATATACTGTTATATATTTCAGTTACTTTATGTACATGATATATTTATAATCATAAAGAAAGAAATGGAGATGTCTTAGAAATGATTTCTTATACAGAAAGTAAATTCATTGCCTCATTATAATTTTAACATAATTCTAGGGCAGATTGAAATTATCTTTGATTATACTGTATATTGAAAGCTGTTATCTTAAATTTTTCCTAATGTGAGATCATTGTATTTTTTTGTGTTCTACCTATTTTCATTCTTGTTTTGTTTTTATAGCTTCCATTTTAAAGCAGATTACCTTGCCAGGAAATAAATTCCTTTCAATTCAAGCGTCTTCTATTCAAAAGAATAAAATAAAAGAGAATGGAACAACATTCTTCAGGTAAGGATAACAGTTAAAACTTGATCTGGTTGTAAGGAAGTAAGGTTTCAGAAAGAAAAGAGAGAGAACAGAGTAACACCTAAATAATACAAATATATTGATGCCTTTTTTAAAAAAATAACTTCACAATAGTGAATATAATTTATAAACCGTAAAGAACATAAATCTTACATATTCAGTTAAATTAATATATATATATATATATATATATATACAGTTAAATTAATACATATATATATATATGTACACCTATGCAAATAAAATTCAAATCAGTGTACTGAATATTTCCTTACACACCATCGCCATTTATCATGTTGTCTCCCCTTGGATCTATATAACTAGATTGTTACATTATTTATGTTGTTATGGTTAAGTGCTATTGAGTCGTTTCTGAGTGGGTTCCTACTCGTAACGACCCTTTGTAGGAATTCTGAGGAGTACCTGATGAGTTTGAGCTGCCCACTTTGTGGTTCAGTACTTATCCTACAGTGCCACACCAGGTACTCTAGAAAATTATGTATAGCATATATATATATATTTATCCATGTTGCTTTGAAAATTAGAAGACTGTTCTTTTCTGTTGCTGAGAAGTATATAAATTTAAATTTATCTTTTTCCTGTTGATGGGCATTTGTATTGTTTCTAGTTTTTGATTATTTATAGAAGGCTGCTGTAAACATTCTCATACAGATTTTTATGTAAAAATAAATTTTCTGTTTTATATATCTAAGAGTGTGCTTGCTTAATCATATAGTAAGTGTGTGTTTAGCTATTTTAAAAAAATCACCATATTATTTGCCTGTATCATTTTACATTCCTATAAGTAATGATGAGAGTTCCTATTGCTCCACAGCTTTTCCAACACTTGATGTGATCAGTACTTTGAGTTTTAACTATTCTGTAAGGTGTGGAGTCCTGTTATAGTGCTGTAGAATAAGTACTGAACTGCTAACTACAGGGTTAATGGTTCAAGCCTGTTAGCCACTCCTTGGAAACCCTATACAGGGTCGATATGAGTTGGAAGCAATTCTACAGCATTTAACAGCAAAAATATTAGGTGTTTAGTAGGTATTTTTATTAATGATTTTAATAAACACTAGACTGTGAACCACAAGGTTGGCAGTTTGAACCCATCAGCTCCTCTGAGGAGGAAAAATGAGACTTTCTACTCCCATGGTGATTTATAGCTTGGGAAACTCTATACAGGCTCAGAACCAACTGGATGGCACTTAATAACAATGAGTGAAGATATTGATAATGTATTTTTTTTTTTTAAGTTTTTTATTGTGAATTGAGTGAAAGTTTTCAGGGCACATCATCGGTTTCACATTAAAACATTCATATACCTTGTTTCATTACATTGATTATAATCCCCTCCACATACCATCAGTTAACAGAGTTTCTCTATATCCTCTTTAGCTTTTTTGGGGGGGGAAAACTTTGCCTTTTTGGAATTTACAGTCTCGGCTTTTAGGGAAGGTTTTTACATTTATCTGTGGTATCCAGGGCTCATGTATGGAATTACTAACCAGCATAACTGAATAATCAGAAAAGGGACATTTTGCTATGTCTGCTAGGTGGCTAAAGTCTGATCCTCAGAGCCTATGGTTTGGATGGTCAGCAACGCTTGGGCCCACGGGGACTTGAACGCCTGACTGGGTCTGCACGTCTGCATCAGATTCCCCCTTATTAATTATTTGTTTAAGGGTGATAATGTATTTTTGTGCTTATTGCCACTCATATATCTGCTCTGATGGTTTGTTGTTCAAATCTTTGGTCTCTTTCTTTTTTTTTTTTTGTTGAGGTTTGAGTTCTGTATATATTCAAGATTTGGTCAGATAAGTAATCTGCAAATATTTTCTCTTTGTGTGGAGCATCTTAACAGTGTCTTTAGTGGAGCAAATTTTTAATTTTAATGAAATACAAATCACTAATTGTTTCTCTTATGGATTGTGCTTTTCATGTCTTCTCTAAGAAATGTTTCTGTAACCTAAAGTTACAAAGATTTTTTCATGGAAGTTTTACAGTTTGTCCTTTGCTTATAATTATTTTTCAATTCCCAACTATTGTCTGTATAAAACATCAGTGGGTATATTTTTGCTTTCTTTTGCTGTGTCTTCCCATTTTTTGTTGTATTAGTTCTACTTTGTTACCACATATTCATTAGTGTTTCTTCTCTTTCATTGTGATTACTTTGTCTCTGAACCTATTTTTACGTCTTTATCTCATTTTCTTTTGGTTGTTTTTCTTCTTGTCTCCAATATGTCTTAATAGGTTTTGCTTTGTATTTGGCCATCTTTGAAAGCCTGTTTGGTTCTTTCTTGGTTTGCAGCACTGTAAATTTTCTCCTAATGCATCCTGTGTACTTTACCAAAATTCATTTCTCAGTATCTTTTTTGCTTGCTTTCGACCTAAGAAATTACATGTTTCAAAGACTGCTAGTTAAAATTATTTGTCCTTTTCTTGTAGCCTATGCTTTAATCTACCAAAATGCCTTTTAATTTTATTTTTTCTAACCGGCACTGTACTTGCACTTTGTCTTTTTGCCAATAGTATATTTCATCCGTATACCAACCAATAGCATTCATGTTTCCTTTTCTTCAGTTTTTCTCAGTATTTTCTTGCTCAACAAAGGTTGAGGATGAATTTGGGGAAGGTAAGTGCCTTAGGCTGGATTCTTTAGAAAAGCAAAACCAGTAAAGTTTATATTTGTATATGTAAAGAGATTTGTATCAAGGAAATGGCTCATACAGTTGTGTAAGTGGTCTGTGGGTTAGATGTCAGGCTGGAGGCTTTTGACTCATGGAGGTGTAGGGCTGATAAACCAAGATGGGAAGACAAACAGTTTCAGCAGGTAAGAAGATGGGATGTTGATGAGTCCAAAGATCGGCAGGTAAAAGAGCAACTCACTGGCTCAAGTCCAAAAACTAGAGATTGAAAAACAAGTCAGATGCAAGATCCAGATCAAGCATATAGAGCAAGCAAGCTTTGCCTGAGTGCCCAGTATATTTGAAGCAGGTTACACTCCCAAGGAAATGTCCTTTCAACTAATTGACTAATCCTAACAGACCTCAACATCGGGTTGATTGCATTCTATTAGATCTCATCATGGAGAATAACTACTTCTCAACTGCCATCCACTGGGAATCTTGACCAAGGCAAGCTGACACAAAACCTTAACGATCACAATAAAGTACCAAGAACTAGACAGCATGCTGAGATTTATTACTTTTCTGTTCTTTGTTTTCAAGGCTACACTCAGATATATAATAATTTATAACACCAAAGGAAACATTCTGCAAATCTGCCTCCTGGCCGCCAGCTCTCAGTCCCTCTAATTCCATGAATTTAGAATGCTCAGTTGCTCCCTCTCTCCATGTCCCCATCTGTGCTGCCATCTCTGGTATCGCTGCTTCTCTGGATAGGGTTGCTCCTCATTCTTGATGCCCACAAACTTATTCACCACGTCCATGGTCTTAATGGCTAACATGATGGGCACATACAGCAGACACCTTATAATTGATAGTGAGATAGATCTGTGTGGTCGTCAGTGTCTACTTTGGCCAACTCTACCTGCTCATGCTGCTTGGCCACCAGGTTCTTTAACCTCAGCCCCAGGATCTGTCAGGGGCCCACCATTATGCATGGAAATCCACGACCATTGTGGGGTTTCACTGTTGACAGCTTAAACCTGAAAATCAGGCTCATCCTCACTCTTAAACGTGGTGGTACAGACTCTGCTGGTGTGTATCACCTGGCTGGGCTGGGTGTTGCTGCTAGCCTAGCAGTATGGCACTGTGGGATCTGAGGGGTGCCCATTGACCTTGAGGAAGCTTCCTAGAGATGACTGAGGCCAGGAACCCTCTGGAGAAGTCTGTGAGCCATCTCCTTGCATTAAGAGTAGAGGAATGCATAGCCAGGCCCCCCAGGCTTTTAATTCTTTAAAGCATTTCATGTATTCTTCATTTCCCTCTGGAGGTCCTAATTTTCATGTGGTGTTATTTGCTTTCAGCCTGAAGCTTTTCCCATAGTATTTCTTGCTCTGCACTGTAAAGTGCAGTGGAGATTGCTTAATTTTTACTTTTCTGAAAACTATTTTTGTTTGCTTGCATTTTAGAAATAGAGTTTTAGTGGTCTTAAAAGTCTTTTTTTAGCTAAGTTTAAAGTTGTGTTATTTCATGTTTTCCGATCTCCATTGTTTCTGATAGAAGTCAGAATTATTTATGGAGAATCATGACATGTCATGTGTTGGCTTAAATATAGGTTAAAATTCTGTGTGGTTCAACAGATACTGTGTAATCATCCCCCATTTTGTGATCTAATGTGAACAGCCAATTAGTTGGAAGAGGAATTTTACTGGAGTGGTTGCTTGCATCCAGCATGTAAATAGATGTTCTGGAAAAACTTATTTTCTTTTTCAACCTTATAATTTCCATTTCTTGGGCTATATGCTTGCAGCGACCTCTAGGCTGTTGTCTGGTGACCCAAGACCTTCGGACTTTACAGCATACACAATTGTGTGTGACATTTCCTTGAAATAAATTTAAGTTTTTTAATATGCTTCATTGGTTTTATTTCTTTAGAGAACCAGACTAAAACATGTATCATTGTTTCCATGTTTGTAATAGTGTTTTTTTCTCATTACTTTTAAGATTTTCTCTTTGGATTTCAGTAGCTTGGCTATGATGTGCCTGTCTCTTAGTTTATGTTTCACCTACATTTTCTGAATTTATTGCATCCCTACGTTTGTTTTCTACTCGGTCCTTATCTGTGTATATGTTTTTTTCTCACCTGTCCTTATGATTGTAATTATATGTGCATTAGACCCTGTTTGATGGTTCCCTACATAGCACTGCAGTTCTATTGACTTATCTTCCATCTTTATTTTCCTTTAAGTCTTTCAACATAATTGTATGCTGCCTGAAAGTCTTTGACAGCTGATTGCAGCATCTACCTTATTTCAGGATTAGTTTATTTCTTGACCCCAGGTCAGGTTTTCC